TAAATATTTCTAGACATCTAGCAAACTTAAAAAATAACCCTTGAGTAATTCTAGGGATATTTTATTTAGGAAAGGTAAAATTCTTGAAAAACTGTTATTAAACAGGCTAAAGAAGAAATCTAGTTATATATGACTCCAAAGATTAGAGCTAGGACTAACTAACAGGTAAAAGTTACAAGAAATTGAGTATTAATTTAAAAAAAAGACAATTGGTTGTCCAGAAAATATGGCACATGAATTAAATCAATTATTTCCTCAGAGATGTTGAATTTCTACAATGGTTTGCCTAGTTGACACCTACTCCAATCCCAGCTCTGATTCAGAAATCAAGACATTTAATTTTAATTCATAGGTGATGCCACTGTTACAATATCGCATCGATACACCCCCAAAGAGCAGCTGAAAACACATACCATTCTTGCAGATATTGTGATCTCTGCTGCAGGTAAGACCATCCAGGGAAGGGGACGGAAGGACATCAGGAGATGGGCCTCTTGCCTTAGAACTTGCCTGTTTCGCTGCCATTCCATTCATTCTTACCCTAGGATGTCACCATAAGCTGCCTACAAAGATGAGGGAAGAGTTGTGCTTGGTATAGTGGTTTCTGTCATTTCATCATAGACTTGATGGATGAATGTTATTTCTATAGTCTCAAAGGATTTCTATTTACTATATGAAGTTTAAATGTTTCCTTGGTTAATGGTTCTTGTAGGTATTTATAAAACAAGCTAACTAGTTCTTCCAGGTCTCTTAAAATTGAAATTAGATAAGAATCTGACAGGCAACCCTAGCTCGTTTGGCTTAGTGGATAGAGCATCGGCCTGCAGACTGGAGGGTCCCGGGTTCGATTCCAGTCAAGGGCACATGCTCAGGTTGCAGGCTCAATCCCCAGTAGGTGTACAGGAGGCAACCAATCAATGATTCTCTCTCATCATTGATGTTTCTATCTCTATCTCCCTCTTCTTTCCTCTCTGAAATCAATAAAAATATTTAAAAAATAATAATAGCCGTAACCGGTTTGGCTCAGTGGATAGAGCGTCGGCCTGCGGACTGAAGGGTCCCAGGTTCGATTCCGGTCAAGGGCATGTACCTTGGTTGCGGGCACATCCCCAGTAGGGGGTGTGCAGGAGGCAGCTGATCGATGTTTCTCTCTCATCAGTGTTTCTAACTCTCTATCCCTCTTCCTTCCTCTCTTTAATAAAATCAATAAAATATATTTAAAAATAATAATAATAATAAAAATTTAAAAAAAGATTCTGACAGGCGTTTTCAGATGTCTCAGTAAGGTGATCGATCATTCCTGTCTCCGTTTCCCCAGGCATTCCAAATTTGATCACAGCAGATATGATCAAGGAAGGAGCAGCCGTCATTGATGTGGGAATAAATAGAATTCAGGATCCTATCACTGCTAAACCCAAGTTGGTTGGAGATGTGGACTTTGAAGGTAAATAGTATAATTTAAAAAAATATATAAAATCAGTAAATACTACCATTAATGGACATTTAGGACTAATCATTTACTTTTTCTTATAAGTTTTAAACTTGTGTTACTCTGGTAATACCATTTAAAAGGCTTCCAACAAGAATTAAGAGAAATGTTTTTTCAAGTTATAGACATTCTAGAATTATTTTAGTTGTTTATGTCATAAAATTATGGACAGTAGGTATAAACTTTTCAGGGAATTGTTTTTCCTTACGGTTATTTCATAATTAAAACAACTTTAAGACTTTTAACAAGTCTGAAAATTTAATGAAGTGATTTCCCTAAACCACTGAGTCTCCTAAAAAGTGTTACAGATTTCTCGTTTTAAGAGGGGATCCCAGACCTGGAATGTTAAAAAAATCCAGGAAAAAGCCATGTTCTTGTAAATTTGGCACTTACTAGTACTGTAGACATCTCCTTTCAGTTCTTAAGACCCAAGCCTAGGTAACCAAGTGTTTTTTCTTTAAGATTGAGTTAAAGACCTGGCCAGGTGCTCACCAGTTGGTTAGAGCCGTGGTCGCCAACCTTTTGGACCTCACGGACCACCAGTGGTCCACGGACCACAGATTGGTGACCACTGGGTTAGAGCATAGTCCTGATACACCAAAGTTGCAGGTTCAATTTCTGGTCAGGGCACATACAAGAAGCAACCAGTGAATGCATAAATGAGTGGAACAACAAATACATGTTTCTCTGTCTCTCCCCCTTCCTCTCTCTCTTAAATCAATTTAAAAAGATTGGATTAAAAAAATCTTGTTTCTTTCCAGAAAATTGCTTTGCTTGGTATTTTGGGCAAACAGTATGAATAAATATAGTATATAAATAAAGTAAAATTAAGAAAATGTTGTAGGCAGGTATTAATTGAGGTAATGTTTATGGTAGACCTCCCCTACAGTCAACCTACTGAGATTTCTTTTTAAGTAGATTTAATATGGATGAAAGTGTGGCTGGTAGATTATAGGTGATGCAGATGTATAAATATTCCTTGAACAACTTTGCTTAATATGTGCCTGTTATTTTGTTAGTATGTTCAAAGGCCTTTACTCTTGAGTAATTAGATGTGATTTTTATGAGTTTGAGGTTTATGAAGGTGCTTATGTATATTATTGCTTTTTTTCCCCCCAATGCTTCCATGATATGTTAAAATACATACATGTCCTTTGTCACGATTAAAGCAGTCTGCTGTCTTGTTTCTTCTATATAGAAGTCCGGAAAAAAGCCGGTTACATCACTCCAGTCCCTGGGGGTGTTGGTCCCATGACAGTGGCGATGCTAATGAAGAATACCATTATCGCTGCAAAAAAGGTGCTGAGGCTTGAAGAGCAGGTGGTACTGAAGTCTAAAGAGCTTGGAGTGGCAACTAATTAACTAGTGTGTCTTCTGGGTCATGAACAGTACTCCAAGCCAGTTCAAGAGGCAAAACAGGCCAATAGAAATGCAGCATCTCTTATTTATTCTACTGACATGGTTTTAAACAGTGCTTTGTATTTATTGAAAGCTTAAGTGGGTGGATGCTTGTGCACATAGCTCTCCCCAGTACCTCACCAGGGATCGTGCCATTATCATGCTGGGTCATGTGATCTGGCCATAAGAGGAGCCATTAGCCTGGTGATTGCATGGGGGACACTCCCATTGAGAAGGGCTGCTTTACTTTGTCGGACCACTTCAGTTACAAATTGCCTTTTCCAGGATTGCATTTCCCAAGTGCTATTCCAATAAGAGTTGATACTCACTTTAGGTTCCAAACCTTTTGAGCTCAACTGGTCAAACCAAAGGAAAAATGTTGCTAGAGAAAATTAGGGAAAAGGTACAAAAGAAGAAATGATAGTAATTTGAGTAGAAAAAATTTACCCTAATTTTATATTGACTGATAACCAGAAGAAAAGCTACCTGTTAATAGTATCCTGTCATTTTAAAGCTTAGTTAGTCGTTGGGAAAATGTCTGTGTGCTGTTAGCCTTTATTTTATGTGTGTTGCCATTCATGAGGTCCCCTTTTGGTTTTCTGGGATCGAAAGGCTTATTTTATAAATAATTCACATGTATTGTCATATTTGGTTTTTCCTATATCCTTAAACTTTATTGTTAATTTTTTTGTACTGTTGGGGAAGTCTGTATGGTTTCTTTAGTAGATCTTGAAACCTATTTTTGAAAAACAAAACTTGGGCTTGATAATCATTAGGGCATTTGTATACATATGCAACTGCCTTTTCCACCAAAGAATTGTCGGCCTGCTGCCTGCTTTCTCTGATGCACCTATTGGCTTTCCCTGATAGGTTTTTGAGAGCTTGAGTTAATATTGAATTTAATCAGACTTTCTGATTAAGTTTTTTGTTTTATTTTGTTTTTTAAATAAAACACTCTGACTAGTATGAAATGAGTTTCTGAAATACTGTACCTAACTGCTACTGTATTGTCTTAGTTGTGACCTAACCATAGTTAAATTTTCTCATTGGATGTAATTGATCTAGCTATTTCTATAAGTGGTAACACCCACTCCTGTGCCTTAAACAAAGTGGTTTAAAGAGCCGTGGAGAAACCAGCCTAGTCCATTTAATCTTACATCCAACAGGTGTGCCAAGCCAGGATCTTAATCGGTAAGATTCATTTAAGTGGTTCATGTTGTTCTGAGTATTTTCTAAACCATGCATTCAGTTTACACCTTGTTCAGTTTACAAAGAACTTGATGTGCTTCCCAAGTTTCTCCTCTCTCTCTCTCTCTCTCTCTCTCTCTCTCTCTCTCTCTCTCTGTGAATTTTTGTAATTGATGACAGATTGGAAGGTATTGCACATTTGGAGGCTAGGATAGGTCCCACCAGGACTGGGAATTCTGGCCCTTGCGCAGGCAGAAGCAGCTCCTGCTCCAGGCAGCTTGAGGCAGACGGAGAAAGGAGAACAATGGGGAGTTGACCTATTCCCTCCTGTTCCTCTGCCAGCTGCCTTTATTCTTTTGATGATTTTCTGGAGATGAAAGAAGATGCTGGTTTGTTAGAGATGTTTTTTGTAAGTGAGTAGCTAGTGTCCATAAGCCATGCCTGCTGACTCACCTACATTATTAAACATGGAGCAAGATGAGCAGACAGGATTACATTTTATTGAACTGCAGTTACAAGTGGAAAAAGGTACTGACCTGCATGGAGAAGTAACATGTCAACCTGTTAAAAGCTATCAACATTAAAATGTTCATGTTATATACAACATGTAAATGACATATGAGGTGAAAATTACAGTGATCAGTTTACAGAACAAAAAAAATTAACATTGTGGTTTTTCAGTTTGTTTGATGAATCAAGCACATTTACTCCTGAATCCATAACATTTCTACAGTTCAATTTGGACGAAGTGCTATTGAAAATCAGCCAAGTTTTAACAGTTAGCTCCCCCAGGATAGGAACAGGTAAAGAATTTATACTTAAACTCAGGTAATGGTTCTAGATTAGTGAGCAGCTAAGTAATTCAGCTGCTATCAGAAGTAACAGAGGCTTAGAGCTTTACCTCTTGGCAGTATCCCGTGGAAGGGAGCTCTGAGACTTAACTTAATAAACAATTGAGAGCTTTCTGTGGACCAGTCACTGTACTAGGCTTTAGGAATTACAGAGACATTTAACTGTTCTCTTGACTCAAGTTGTCAACAATCTAGTGTCATTTGTCTAAAAAATAGGAAGGAATAAAGAAAAAGCACCTGCATTTGTCATCTTGAATAAATGTAGTAACAAATCAAAGTGATTTGCTCAAGATCCAAATCCCAGTTGTTTTATGTCAGATGCATTGTGGCTATTAGGCACATAGTAGTAGTTAAATGAAAACATGGTTGGTGTTTGCTAAACATGGATTAAAGATAAAGACTGATCTTCTTCCTTGAGGAAAGGATTTGCTTCATTAACAATGGGTTTCAATCCACCCAACTTGCTTCCAATCATTCCTTTAAAGCATTAGTTTCATATTACAGTTACACTCTTCCAAAATTTGACATCAGCTCTGCCTCACTGCAACGTTCATGCGGATGGGAGTTTGACTTTGGGAATCAGGAAGGTCCTACCCTCATGTCCAGAAATTTGACTCTGGGCATGAAAAACCAGTGATGTTCATTCAAAGGATCATTGTGTTGATTTAACGTGGTTTGAGGTTTTACTCTAACAAGAACTTTTATTTTAAAAATATTTATGCACTCAAGTGTGTTGGTTCTTTCATTAACAGACCAAGGCCCATAATGCAGATAGTTCAAGCTTTTGTATGATCCTTAGCCAATGGAATGAGATGGAGTGGAAAGATAGGACTTTTAAGTGTTTCCTAATATGCAAAATTGCAAGATGAATTTTTCAGCCTTGCTCTACTGCAGTGCGGGTATTTTAATAGTTCTTTCAAAATCATCTAGACACTTTAAAATCTAACCTTTAAAAAAATTCTCAACTGTTAATTTATTTTCAATAAAAATGGACTATTGCACCTTTAACCACAGTTGGGAGGTAAGCATTTTTTTTTTTTAAATTTCAAAAGAAATGTTATAATTTCTATGCTGACCTGTATTTTAAAATAATGTATATAACATGTTGCTTTCCTTGTTGCATAACTACAAAGGAAGGGGAGATTTTGCACCTAAGTAGTATTTTTTATCGACGGATTCCCAGTTTTTCATCAGCTGGAATAACGACTCTGTTTGGTAAATAAGGAAACGGGCTCTGAGAAGTTCAGGGTTGTGGCCCAGACCCTCATGATGAAGACTAAACCACGCCCTCCCTCTGCCCCGTCTCTGGGGACGCTGTGGCCTCCTAGAGGGAGGTCTCGCCGACAGCGTCTCTTCCGTACATGTCCATGTCTGTGAAGTCACAGTCTGACTCCATCTCTATCTTCACCTGTGGCACCATGAACACTGGCCTCTGAGAGTAGTTGAAAGCAGGTGAAGCTGGACAGGAAATTTTGAAGTGCAAGGTGATGCTGAACGAGAAAAAGGGGAGCATGGTTTATCTAGTGTTGGGTGTCTTTCGTGGGATCCCCCAGAGCAGGGCTCTAATGCAAGTAGTTCTGTCTTTTCTTATGAAATCTGAACACATCACAGCCACTAGCAGTATCCTATCTGCTTGGCCTTCAGCTGTAGACATTACTATTCTTGCCCTGTTTCAACCTATTCGTATTGCTGCCAAAGTGAACTGTCTGGATCACAAATCTGTCTGGTTCCCCACTTAAATTTTTCCGTGGTTTTCCAGTTCAACACGTAGCATCCGAGCACCTTAGCACACGGACTCCTATGCTCACCCTCCTGTTTACTTGTAGTTTGACGGCTCCATCCTTCCCTGCGTTCTTTGGCCTGAGTGTGTGTGTGTTTTCCAATGGCATTTCTGGTCTGTTCTCGTGCCTGGGATGCCCTTTTTTCTCTCTTCCTCACTCTGTCTCCAGTGCAGTGGTTCTCAGCCTTGGCTGCACATTAGAATCACCTGGGAATCTTTAAAATCCTGATTTCTGGGCCTCATCCTCCGGAAATTCTGTTTCTTTGTTACTAATGTTGTGGCCTCACCCCATAACAAAGAAACAGAATTTCTGAGTTACTCCATTGTTCTTGGCACAAGGTGCTGGGTGTCCCTGTCCACATGCCTTTCTGTATCCCCAGGGCGTAAGCATCCTGCCTGGTAGCTTATGATGCTAACCTTTGTTAAATTAGATCATGTTGCTGAGCCTTTTTCTTCATTGAAACGGAATCCTGCTACTTCGTGGTCTCTGCCTTCACAGATGCGGTAAAACACCAGTGTAGCTGGGAGGTGCCACTGCCAGTACCAAATCTGTCCTGTGCTTTGTATAACTTAACAGGGTTTTTGAAATGCCCTATCTTGGTCCAAATTTTCTCTCCACTGACTGAACTCGGGGCAATTAGAGATTCAATTTAGTGTAGGCTAAAGTGAAAGCAAATCAGGGTGGACAGATTGCTCTTCTAACACGTTTATATATAAAGGTCAGCGGCTAAGGGCAGAAGAGCCTGGGTTGGGGAGGTGGGTGAGACGGCAGGCGGAGATGTACTTGGGCATGTGACACTCCTGGGCTGGGCCAGCCGCTGAGGGAGGCCAGTCCTGTGACAAGTGTCTTTTCAGCTGGGCATGTGATAGCAGTTCTGACTTACAGCTCAGAGGATCCCGTATGTGTTTCTTAAACCCCTTGAGAGAATGCCATGTGAGGGGGGGGTTATCTGCCTCCAGACTTTGGGTAGCCTGTGCCTTCCCTGTTGGACTTAGTACCGAGGGATTTCTGCCCAGTTTGGGGCACAGTGTAAGAGTAGGACTGGCCTGCCAGCTTCCCCAGTAATAACCGAGGCCGACTCGCCTGCCTCTGAATTGTTCTTTTCCACGTTTGAGTCCCCTTTGTTTTCAGCCATCCAGTAGCCTCACCTGCACGGGTGGCTCTCATTGAGATCAGATAGGAACCACCTGTTGGCCTGGGACTCCTGGAAACCAGGTCCTGAATACTTTCTGGACTGTTCTTGTCTCCACCTGATCTTTGGTATTTAGTTAGCTTTCCTTGATACCCTTTCTGACCTGCTAATTAACCACGCGGTTATTTGATTGCACAGTATATTAGGTTACCCGATGCTTGGACCCTTAGAGTTCCCTTAGCCTGGCTGTCCATACAGTACTTAAGCCATATCTGGTTTTCCTCTGTGTCGTTTTCTATTTTTCAGTATTTACTTTCCATTTTCGTTTTACCTAATATTTTATAATAATTTCCTCTTGTAAAATTGAATACCTTTGTGTGTTGTAATCATGTTTTTATGTCAAGAAGAGGACAAATTTGTTACTGGACACCCAATGATCAGGACTGTCAGCCTTTCTCTCCTCAGTGGACCACAAAACAAAGGCCTTTTACTGAGACACTGGCTAGGCTGGGAGATCCTAGTCCCTCAACCTTCCTGGCCATTGTTTAGTTTCTTATCCAACACCCAAGGCTGTTACCTTCGATCAAGTTCTGAGTCACTGAAGGAAGAATCAGAATGAGTAACTCCAGCTGGAGGATCTTTTTCCTGGCAGGAAGATTAAAATGTCAGATGTGGAGCAGGTTTGAGGACTCCCCTGGAGGAGATCCTTTTTCCAGTGCTTCCCTTACCCATTTCGTCTCCTTTCTATTCTCTGGCCCCATGGCCAACACTGCACAAGAGGGATACAGGGCCCTCGCTAGGATGGGTGGGTTAGTTATTCCTTCATTAGAAGGCTAGGTGGGTGGGAGGTATGGGAAGGGCCAGGGAAGAGCGAGAAAGGGTGATAGAATCATACAAATAGGAAGTGGGGAAACAAAGTCGAAGAGGTATCTCTGATGGAGGGTGTGATGGGAAGCTCTTGAGGGGGCTGGCAGGATCCCTAACCTGCTCTTTGAGGAAAGTGGCAAGCTCTACATTAGGAGCAACAGGGTCTGGACTCAGGTTGGGATCTCAAGCTGTCTTGTCTCAATGACAGGACTGTCTGCCAATAGGGAGCTGAGGCTGGGAGCGGGTAATGGCAGTAACAATCCCCCAGGATCTTCATAAGCAACGTGCATCCCTCCCAGGAAGCCTCCCTTTCAGCGGGTGGAAGATGCAATTTGTACAGAATCAGCCCAACTACTGTGACCTAAGTTATACTCCAAATGCGATGCTACCTGTTTTGCTAAAGGACAACTCACTGGGCCAGCGTGGCTCAGTGGGTGAGCATCAGCCTAGGAACCAGGAGGTCACATTTTGGTTCATAGTCAGGACACATGCCTGGGTTGTGGATTCAATCCTCCCCCTCACCCCCATCACCACCACCCTGTGCGGGGCATGTAGGAGGCAGCCGATGAATGATTCTGATGTTTCTATCTCCCTTCCTCTCTGAAATCAATAAAAATATATTAAATACGTAAAATAAAGGACAACTCGGTTTGGATTTGAGCTCTCAATCATCTCAGCAATCACCAAGAAACATTCTGCCTAGCACAGTGGTCCTCTAACATCTAAGACCACCAGATTTCCTGAATTAGAGATGGAAGTTCCTTGAAGCGGAGGGTTAGTGAGGAGGAGAGAGACACCATGTGTTTTACTTACTGGAAATGCAGTGGATACCATTTTGGGGATCTGTTTGGACACTTTCCATGGGAATCTTTATAACGGAGGGAGGAGGGAACTGGGGCTGGAGAGAAACAGTGGGAAAAGCTGATGAACACCAATACAACAGCGCTGCCTTTCTGGCCAAGATGGGAAATACATGCATCCACAGTGTGCAAAGTGCCATCCTCGCCTCCAGACTAAATAGGGGGTGCTGCAAACACGTAGGCCCACTGAGGGCATCACACGGTTAGCCCGCTGTCCTAGGCAGGATGAAACTACCGGGCATATTACTCAGAACGGTTTCAACTGTTAAGGTAACCAGTCACCTGGGAGTGAACCTCACCTGATAGCTGTGTAAGGACAAGTGTAAAATGAATTTGTGTAAATTGAATCCCATCTTTTTGTTGAATATATCATGTAATCCAGAGATATTTTTCCCCAAACCTGGAATAGTTCGGGGCACATGGTAGCCATTCAAGTATTTATTGAATGAATCTGAAAGAATAGTATTTGTCTTTAAAAGGCACTTCGACTTGGTTTCCTTGTTCTTAGAACCTATCTTTGAAAATCATCTAAACCATCAATGAAAAACATGAGTGAATGATGGGCCTCTTCCCTTCCTGGACGAGGATAGTAACTGAGGACCAGGGGAGTTTGGGGCCCTCGCTTCCATCAGAAGATGGTTGAATCAACTCCAATCAGTCAGCAAGGATTTACCTAAGAAGAGTTTTGACCTGCAAAAGGCAAGATCACTAGGAGAACAATACAAGGATGATGCAGGGATATGGTTTTGGGTCAAACTGGGAGAAGGGGAGCCAGGCCTGGTATTAGGAGATGTCATGGGCAGCTTGGTATACTGGAATGACCAGATGTAAAGTCAGGAGTGACTGTCCTAATTCCCTCTAAGGTATTTAGCTCTGTGTCCATCTTGGGTGAATCACTTCCCTTTTGGGGGACAGTTACATCATCTGTAATGAGCACTTGAACTAGACGATCTTTCCCCCTAGCATTTTGTGACTTACTGTAAGTTCTGGACTGGCTTCTTGTCTGTTGACTCCCTAAGTGTTTGGGGGGTGGGATGGGAGGAGAATGGGAAAAGGGAGGGGTTGTCAGGGCAACCCAGTGGTTGTGGGCATCTGGGGAAGGTAGCCATTCTCAGTGAGGACTGGGCCTCTTCCCCACCTCCCGCCCTGACACCCTAGGGGCAGGACTAAGCAAACTGTCCCCAGTCCTCCTGTCTGTCCCGGAGTCCAGTCTCCTAGTGAGCTCTCACCGGAACCGCCCCACCCCTGCCACCCGCTCCATTCTTTGGAGGTCAGTCCTTACAACCTCTGTGATGGAGCCAGGCTTTGCCCTGTTCCCTTAGGGCAGTGGTTGGCAAATTGCGGCTCCCGAGCCACATGCAGCTCTTTGGCCCCTTGAGTGTGGCTCTTCCACAAAATACCAACTTCTGCACATGGGCCATGAAGTTTCAATCACACTGTACATGCGCGCCCGCACGTGGTATTTTGTGGAAGAGCCACACTCAAGGGGCCAAAGAGCCGCATGTGGCTCACGAGCTGCAGTTTGCTGGCCACTGCCTTAGGGGACTGCACTGCTGTTGATAATGGCCAATGTTTCCCTGGGTGGGGGCTCCTTCACCCTGGCCCACCCTGAGGATAGTCACAGAAACAAAGCTCTCAGCCCCCAGACTAAGATTAGCAGAAGCCTCGGCCCATCCTGGACTGGGTCGCTGCAGGCTGCCTAGGAAGCCACCCCATCCCGGCCCTGGCTGACGTGGAGGGAGCCTCTCAATCTCCCCCCCAGGCCCAGCCTCACATCCTCCCCACCTCCTTGTCACTGTCCTCATGGGCCCCTTTCCTTCTCTTTTTCTTCTTATTCGTCTCCTTTTTCTCCTTCTCTGGGAGGATGTTGTCGATCCAGGCCAGATCGTGCTGGGAGAAGACGAAGTCCAGCAGCCTTCGGACAATGATGAGGCCCAGGATCTGCAGTGGGAGTTGGGAGAAAATGGAAGGCTCAGGTCCCCAAACTTGGGCACAGTCGTTCCCCTGCAGCAGCCATGTTCAAGGATGTTTTCTGGTCAATGTCTTTTTTTTTTTTTTTAAATATATTTTATTGATTTTTTACAGAGAGGAAGGGAGAGGGATAGAGAGTTAGAAACATCGATGAGAGAGAAACATCCACCAGCTGCCTCCTGCACACCTCCTACTGGGGATGTGCCCGCAACCCAGGTACATGCCCTTGACCGGAATCGAACCTGGGACCTTTCAGTCCGCAGGCCAACACTCTATCCACTGAGCAAAACCGGTCAGGGCTGGTCAATGTCTTTGGAGCCATCTCGAAGCTCCCACAACCATTATTCACCAGCTCCCCACCGTGGACCCTGCCTGGCTTTCCCCAGTGACAATTCCCACCCGGACCCATAGGGACAGAGCCTGCGATGGCTGAGGTGGGGAGCCAGGTGGCAGCCATGGTCGGAGAACTACAGTTATTCTTTAAATCGGTGGTCCTCAGACTTAAGCTTGCATCAAATCCCACGCTGCTGGGTGCTGGGGGACACTAACGAGAAGCCTGGGTCAGAAATCACTTGCGGGGAGCCCCCCAGGAGGGCACATTCAAATCCTACTCCTGTCCTCCCTCTGCCCCGCTCCAGCCCTGCAGGCTGTGGGGCCCACCAGGGCCTGGGGCCACTTCCCTGTGATGGGCTCATCTAGGAGCCAGAGGCAACATGTTTTTGGCTTTTTTCTTCTCTTTCTTATTTTGGAATACTTTTAAACTTACATAAAATTTGCCAGAATAGTCACAGAACTCTCATGTCCTTTCCCCAAACGTCATGTTAATGACATTGGACTTTGAAGTTCTTCATCTCTGATTCTAGCTCTTCCCACCCCCCAGTTAGCTTCTCAAATTCAGTTAGTTTGAATGATGAAAGGGTTTCTTTCTTTTCTCTCTCTCTCTCTCTCTCTCTCTCTCTCTCTCTCTCTCTCTCTCTTCCTCCCTCCCTCCCTCCCTCCCTCTCTTCCTCTCTTCCTTTCTTTCTTACTTTTCACCTGAGGATAACTTTCTATTGAGTTTTAGGGAGGGTAGAAAAGAGAGGGAAAGACAGAGAGAAATATCAATGTGAGAGAAACACATCGATTGGTTGTCCCCTGCACAAGTCCAACCAGGGCCCAGGCTGGGGAGGGTCCTGCAACCGAGATGCATGCCCTTGACCAGAATCAAACCCGGGACCCTTTGGTCCACAGGCCCACAGCTCTATCCACTGAGCCAAACCAGTCGGGGCAAAAGGGTTTCTATTTAGCAAGATCTACTTCTGCACTTGGTTTGAATGTCAGCAGCGGGCACCTTAGTCTCCTTGTCACATTTGCCCAGCTTCGTCATCCTGCCCCAGCGCGGGGGCGGTTGGGTGGCATTTGCCACCTGAGTGGAGTGGAGGTGGGAGTGCGAATGGTCACTGCAGGGTCTGACCACCGCACAGACCACCTTCCCTGCCCTCCCCGCCACCTGCCCCGCCCCAGCTGGCCTGGATTCACAGCTCCGATCTTGTTCTGTGCCTGCCTGGCCAGAGTCAGGCCACCAGGGAGGAGAAAGCGAGAGTGGACCTCCAACGGGAGGGAAGCCAGCCCCACCGCACTCACCATGACCGGGAAGATGATGGCGGCCACCGTGGACTTGAGGATCCAGAGCACGGCCAGGCAGAGGATCTGCACCAGAGTGAAGAGGTGGATCCGGCGCAGGGGCACGTGCCGCAGGAAGGCGTGGTCCGGCTGGTGCTTGGCGGGCATCAGGAAGAGCTTGCAGCGTTCCCAGAACTGGCGAGGGGGCAGAGGCTCAGCCAGCAGGGGGGGCCCCGGGAGCCCTGCTGGGGGCTTGGGGTGGGGGAAGCGGTGCTGCAGTGGGGCCTCATAGAGGGGAGCCCTTGGTCAGGCGTTAAGGATGCACAGAGAGAGAACTGGAAGTATAGGAGGACATACAGCGAGATCTTATACAGCAAGAGCTCAGGGGAGGGCTTGGGCCCTGGGGGAGGGCTGGGCCCTGGAACTGGCCACAGATGAATACCGTCCACAGTCAAAGAAAATGCAACTTAATTGAAACACAAGTAATTCAAAACATCCTGGTATATCATGGTAAATAAAGAACAAAACAAGCCCAGCCGGTGTGGCTCAGTGGTTGAGCATCGACCTATGAACCAGGAGGTCAGGGTTCGATTCTCGGTCAGGGCACATGCCCAGCTTGCAGGCTCATCCCCAGTAGGGGGCGAGCAGTAGGCAACTGATTAATGATTCTCATCATTGATGTTTCTAGGTCTCTTTCCCGCTCCCTTCCTCTCTGAAATCAATACAAATATATTTAAAAAAAAGAAAAAAAAGAATGAAACAAAGTGTGTTCTTCTGCCAGAGTTGCCCTAGAGAAGTCAGAGGTGTAGTGAAATGCTCCCTGAGTCAGCCCCACCTGGGTTTTGAATGCTGGGCCTCAGTTTCCTCATCTATAAAATCGGTATCAGAGGGCCCACCTTTACAGATTTAATGATATCACACCTATGAAAAGCCCGGTATAGTTATTTACTTGGCACATAGTAAATGGTAGTCTTATTATTATCATTATTATTTCATTGAACTGGGAAAGCGAGCACTTGGGGTCTTGGTGACATGGACCCAAACTTGGAGCGCTGACCCTACGGGGAGGGCCTTACCTGGATGCCATTCAGGGAGGCCACGCCCATGTAGAGGAAGACTCCGTACAGCACGGGCATGGGGATGTACTGAAATGAGAGAGGGGAGCAGAGAGGCTGTGGGCTGCCCCGTTCTGTATGAAAGTGTCTGCCGGTCACAGTGGCAGCCTGCCTGCCCCGGCTTCCCCCAGGCGGGAGGAGCTGGGTGTCTGGAGGACCTGAGGGTCTGAGAGCAGGTCTGGGGCTCTTCTGCCGCCTTCTCTAGCTGGGTGGCCCGTCCAGTGTGCAGTGCTCCCCCAGCCGGGCCCCCGGCTTCGGGCCCTGGAGAGCCATGTGGTCTGAAGACGTAGCTTCTGGAACATGGGAAAGTTCCATAGAAAGGCCCCTGCTTATTCCTGTCTGTCCCTTCCCACCTCAAGTCCCCGCTGAGGGCCCAAAGCTGGGCTGCTCAGCTTGTAGGGAGCTGGGGGCCTTTAGTGAGAGACCTACATCAGCAGGAAGTACCTGCTGACTAACAAAATCCATGCATCACACACAATCATATGAAGAAAACAAGAAGAGCCTGGCCGGCATGGCTCAGTAGTTGAGTGTCCGTCCACCTATGAACCAGGAGGTCACGGTTCGATTCCCGGTTGGGGCACATGCCCGAGTTGTGGGCTCGATCCCTAGTGAGGGGCCTGCAGGAGGCAGCCAATCCATGATTCTCTCTCATCATGGATGTTTCTAGCTCTCTCTCCCTCTCCCTTCCTCTCTGAAATCAACAAAAAGATATTAAAAAAAAAACAACAATGTTATGCCAACCACCACTATTCACCAACTCACCACTAGTGCTCACAGGTAGAGTGCTTACTTTTTCAACAATGGGATCATATCATTGGACTATTATGACTCTTTAGAAGCCTTTTGAGGTATTTCTCCACGGTCTCTCTAAGCTGTGTTTCTACTTTCCTTTCACTTTAGCTGCACCTGCGGCTCGCCACTGTGAACCAGGCTGCTCTGCTTCACTCCTGGGGTTTTCGTGTTGGAGCATGTGACGTGGGAGAACCAAAGTACGGTGCCCAACGGTTAGATACTATTTCAGCAGGTCAATAAATCTAACCAAACAAATGTCCTCTCTCTTAAAAGAAATTAGACTGTTCATTTTTTGAACATAAAGCATGGTTTGGACCCATATGCTGTAAACCTAAGACATTTGAGCTGAAGAAAGGAAATGTGGGGCCATGGCATCCTTCCGTTTGTAGTACACGGCTTGGGAGATGTTTGCCGAATTATTAAACAAGGTAAAAATGAAAGGAACAACACCAGTTCTCAAGCTAGAAATACTTTCCATGGCAAAGGAATCAATTAACATCGTGGCTCTTCCGTTTATGTTTTCACACCGTCACCCTGAATGAGTCGTTCTGAGGTATTCATAGGGGAAAATATCTGCATAAGATTGGAGCAGCTACAACTAAGATGAACTCAAGACAGCAAAGTCGTTGAGGGCTATGATTACGGGAAAGGGCCACTGATAGGTGTTATGGGAGGAACCGTGTCCCCAAAATTCATGTGAAGTCCTAACCCCCAGGATCTCAGAGTGAGGACACACTCCGAAGGGACTCCCGTTTGATTTCGTCTCTTCCAGCTGCTCTGGAGGGACATGAGCAAGAGGAACTTCAGACTGAGTTGGAAAAGTCACTTAGGTGCCCAATACATGCGAGACAGAAACGCAGGAAACAGGCCCCAGGATCACGTAGAGAAGCCTCCCTGCAAGTTTTAAAGCAAGGAGGCCTCTCGTGAGCCAGAAACACAGCAACGTGGACACACAGCCAGCTCGGGAAGCTCCTGGTCTAAGCGATTGGACCTTGGCAGAACTTTCTGAGGGAAGCGTTTCACAGAAAGGTGCGGTGGACCCTGGGCGGGGTGGGTAGAACAGCGAGGCCGACTGCTGCTGCTGCTGATACAATTATCCAGAAAGCAATGATGATGATGAAACATCTCTTAGGCCTAATAGAATCCTGCCTTTTTAGGGGCCATGTGGGACCCTGCCCCACCTTTGGGGCATCAGGCCAGTGGTTTCGCAGGCAGACAGGGTCCTGGGGGAGGGTGCAGGGCCTCACCTTCAGGATAGGAGCCAGGAAGACGGAGATTCCCGTCAGGATGAAGACGATGGTGCCGGTCACTCTCTGTTCCCTGGCAGAGAAGAGCACATGGTCAGGTAGACTGGGAGATGCTCCATGACCATTCCATGACCCTCTGTGGGCACCTCAAGGTTATGGCCAAGGCCCTGGCCTCTGCCTTGTCCCCCCATTCCAGAGTGTAAGGCTGCTGCTCAAGGCCCAGCTGAGCACACACACGAGAAGAGAGGGAGCCGGCAGAGGCGAGGGTATTCCGTAGGGGTGTTGGGAGGTTGTCCAGTGCAGTGACTAATAGTGGGGGTGCTTGAACCAGACAGACTTGGGCGGGCTCTGCCGCTTACTAGTTGTGTGGCTTCAGGGCCCTAAATGTCTTCACCTCAGTAGAAGAGAGATAATGGCACCCACCTGGGGGCTGGCTGTTGTGAGAATGAAATGGGATATAAAGTGCTTATTACCCCTGACCTTTGACTACAATAAGATCCCACATTTGTAGGGCACTGAGGATTGGGGGGAGGGGGCCTGGCTGCTGGCGGAGCGGGTGTGACCGAGGGGGGGAGAGCAGGTGGGTGTTCCCGTGTGCCCAGGTCCAGACATGGCGCAGGTGGGAGCTGGGGGCTCTGGGCCCAGCTGTCTGGGGCTCTGGGGTCTGGAAGGGGACCCTGCCCTGACCAGAGAAGTCTCACTCGGGGCAGACCGGGCAAGTGGGGTCTCCTGGGGCAGTGGGGAAAGCTCTGAGGACAGCCACTTCTGAGAAGGCCAGTGTGTGGGGTGGGCTCACCCCGGAGAACCTCAGAGGGGGAGGGTGTGCTTCTGTGTCTGAAACAGATCAGGGACCTGACATGGACATGAGAGGAACAGAGGTCAGGCCACAGGCCACAGCCCAGAAGTGGGGATGGTCCAGAAAGCTCTCTGAGGGAATGGAGATCAAGCAGGACCCACGCCCACAGGAGGGCTTTGGGGGACAGTGAGGGCAGGGTGTCTTGGAGAGGAGACAAAGGGACAGGTCAGACGTGGCCTGTGGGGCTCTTGAGGGGCCCATATAGGCGAGAGCTGAGAGTGTGGATACAGGCCATGGTGGTGCTTGGAATCCACTGAGACAAAAAGCATCACTCAGAACTGAATTTTCATCTCCCTCCCGCCTCCCTTCAGGAATATCACTGCTCTCCATGTGGCTCCTGAGCTGTCAGAGCAGGGGCCCCCTTTGCCCAAATACCTTGATGGTAAAAGAAACCTGCTTCCCCTCCCCCAAACTGACCACTCCTGCTCAGGGGGTCCCCAGGCCCAGAGCCCCACCTACCTGACCCCTAGGAACTGGGGCTGCTCCCCTGGGGCACTGGTCTCTGTTTCCATCTTGAGGCTGTCGATGTGGGCAATGGAGATGACGGTGGCCGCCACGTACCAGGGGAGCCCCATGAAGGAGCACAGGGCCATAAGGATGCCCACCCAGAACAGGTCCAGGTGGTAGCCAGCAGCCTTCTGCAGGGGCAGGAGAGGAGAAGTCTAGGAGCCTGTTGCTGACAGGGTGGGGGTGAGACAGAAATCTCCCCAAAGCAGTCATTTGGTAGAGCATGGTTCAGGGCTCCCCTTGACCTTCTAGAGCAGCGGTTCTCAACCTGTGGGTCGCGACCCTTTTGGGGGTTGAATGACCCTTTCACAGGGGTCGCCTAAGACCATCCTGCATATCAGATATTTACATGACGATTCATAACAGTAGCAACATTACAGTTATGAAGTAGCAACGAAAATAATTTTATGGTTGGGTCACAACATGAGGAACTGTATTTAAAGGGCCAGAAGGTTGAGAACCACTGTTCTAGAGGGAACACTGAGGGGCTGCCATCCTGCAGTGCTCAGGCCTCATCAGCCTCAGGGTTTGGTGAGCCAGGGAAGGGGCACAGGTGAGGGAGGAGAGGGGTGTTCGGACTTGAAGAGGCCCTGGGCTTGGGTCCTTGGGAAGAAGGGCTCCTACCAGTGGCCACAATGTCTCTGCAGTTCCTGAATGGGGGCCCTGGCTGGGGCAGGCCCTAGACCAGTGAGGGCGAACCTTTTGAGCTCGGCGTGTCAGCATTTTGAAAAACCCTAACTTAACTCTGGTGCCGTGTCACATATAGAAATTTTTTGATCTTTGCAACCATAGTAAAACAAAGACTTATATTTTTGATATTTATTTTATATATTTAAATGCCATTTAACAAAGAAAAATCAACCAAAAAAATGAGTTCACGTGTCACCTCTGACACCCGTGTCATAGGTTCGCCATCACTGCCCTAGACCAAACCTAGAGAGGTCCAGATTGGGATGGGGAGAGGGTAGCCTGAATCTCCCCAGGCCCAGAGGCAGGGTGGGGAGCTGCAGGAACCAGAAGAGCTAAGGATGCTCCTCTGCCTCATGGTTCTGGGTCAAAATCCCGTTAGGATCTGCTCTGACTCCCAGGTCACTGTCAGGAGGCACAGAGCTGGAGGGTCTCCTTGGGAGAAGCAAGGTGCCCAGTGGCCCACGCTGGACTCGGTCCTGGTCTTTGGATAAAGTCACTCTGGCCCTGGTGGCCTTACTGCATTTGCAGGTCCCATTTCTCCCCCACACCAGAACTCAGTCTTCTGGCCTCATATATTGCTTCAGAAATGGCCCAGAATTTTGACAGATTCACCATCTGCCCCCTTAGTTCCTTCTGACTTTGTGGAATGAGGGAGGTTGTGCCCCTGCTCCTAGCACCAGCCTTACCCTCAGCTTGTTTTCCTTCCGGTTGACGATGACAGCTGTGATCTGCTGGTCCATGAATATCAGGATGGTCACCAGCAGGGCGGGCAGGATGCTCGCTGGGTACACCCACCATGGGTTCTTCCCAAAAGGGGCCACGAACCAGCCTCGGTCTGCCCTTGTGGGCTAGTGGAGCAAACAGAGAGGGCCCTTTCCTCTCTCCCTGTCCCAGTGCCCTTGCCACCCAGGGCCCCCCTCTGCCCGCCTTCCTGCCTCCACCTGGGGCTCTTTTCAAGTGCAATCTTTTCCCTTAAAGACATCGACACCTGCAACTTTAGGACAAAGAGAGCCCGAGGCAGACAGATTTGGGAACTAAGGGGATCACTGGGGCAGCTGCCTGGGGTTGGTTAGGAAACAGGGGGGTGCACAGGCAGAGAGTGTTGGGAGGGAGCTTGCAGCCACCACTTAATTGCAAACTAAAAAGGTGCAGAAATGAGGCCCAACAGGCAAGAATAAAGAATTTGATGGGCCCACTGCCTGATGCTCTCCTTCCAGTCACCTGTCTGGGGAGCATTAGTACACAATCGTCTGTAAAACACTGAACATCAATGCATATTGAGAATAAGGGGTTATCTATGCTGTGGTTTATTTTTTGTTTTACTTAAGAGAAAGAGGTGCTTTGATTTTCAAGACCAACACCAGTTTTATGGGCTGCGCTTAAGCTCCCTAGGAGAACCTTGAAGTGATATTGGGAAGGTCAAGCCCTCAAAGTCAGGAAGGGCCAGTTCTGGAACCTGTACTTTCCAGCCCCATATAGAAGGAGGGTGCTCCTTGGGAGGTAGTGGGACTCAAGCTTAGCTACAAGCAATGGCACAAACTGTGGACTCTGGGGGATTTGTGAAGCAGTGGTTCTCCTGATGCTGGTCTGGGACCACACTTTGAGAATCACTGTTCTAAAGGGTCATTTTCAACAGAACCCAGGTGACCAAGCTTGCAGACTGCCAGGAGTCAGGGAATTGTAGGCCCTCAAGTGGCAATCAAGGGCTTCAGCTAGACTCCATCACCTCCCCACCCTGTGGCCACACAGTGGAGTTTCGTTGTGAATATGGCCCCAACCCGTCAGCTCAAAGGATCTCCCCTGGGAGGCTGTTCTGCACAGGAAGGGTGGAGCATGCACAGAGAACCCGCAGGGTCACTTGGCTGAGAGTCCTGACAGTCGGATCTGTGTAGGGGGGACCAGATCTGCGGCCGGTGAGCAGCAGAGCTACTGCCCAGAGCAAACCTTGATGACACTGGGCACATGCAGCTTGGGGGTTTCCAGCCCGAAACAGGCATCGATTCCACAGAACAACAGGATGGAGAAGACAATGGAAAAGTCAGCCACCAGGGCCCGGATCTGCAGAAAGATGAGCAAGTGATTGAAACAGCCACCCACCTGCAGGTGGATCTAGTTCCCAGGCAGCAAAGAGGAGGATGGTTACGAGCGTGGGCTTGACCTAGGCTCGGCCCTCACTGGCTATGTGATCTTGGGAAAGCATGTCACCTCTCAGAGCCTCCGTTTCCTCATCTGTTTAATGAGGATAAGGATAGCACCTACCTCATTGGCATAAGTGAGCTATGATGCATTCCAAGGGCTTGGCATTTATTAGTCCAGGTGGGAACTGTTGTTACACACATGGCATGGCAGCCATCGCTGACATCTTTTGGTGGGACAGACTGAACTGGGTCACCCAACAGTGCTGGTAAGGACAACGGCTGAACTCTGAAGAAAACCTTAGCTCCTAAAAATGTGTGACAGATTGTTGCTCTGCCACCCGGACCCCTGGCTACCCTCAGACCTTCTTTCCACTAAGAGTCCGTGGCCTCCTGCTCCTCTGTTTCAGGAGGCCCATCCTAGGCCAGGCTCTGGACCTCATCTCCCTGCCCTCTGACCGCCCTTCCACGCCACTGGCTACCCTGTCACCCTTTTTGTATCTCTTCAGAGACAGCAGTTTCCAGAGAACAATAGGGAAAGCAATTAGGAGGGGCAGGGGCAGGCTACGTATGGCACAATGAATTCGTTCCCTGTACCTCCTACTCCCCTTTAAAACGGGTATTAAAATAACGTATGTAATTAATTTAGAACATTATGAAAAGAAACAAGATCTTAATAAATGGTGAGGTATACCATATTCATGGATCAGAAGATTCAAAATTTGAAGGTTGTCATTTTCCCCCAAATTGACATGTAGAGTCAATATAATCTTATCAAAACTCCAATAAGTTTTTATTTTGGTGAAATTTAAGATGATTCTAAAACTTATTGAGAAATGAAAAAGGCCAAGGCATTATTGAAAAAAGGGTCAAAGAGGGAGAGGTTGGTCTGTAAGATATACAGACTTATTATAAGATTGTGAAGATTATGATATTGGCATACAAATAAACCAATGAAGCAGAATAAAGAACCTAGAAATAGACCCCATCATGTGTGAAATTTGATAAATGGCAAAGGAAGCATTGAAGAGCAGTGGGGGAAAGAAAGTTTTTTTTAAGTGCTGGAATAATAGGCGATCTATACAAAAACAAAGAAATACTATTTCATACTATATGTCAAAAGCAATTCTGATAGATTATAGGTCTAATATGAAAGGAAAACAATAAAACTTTTAGAAGATAACATTAGAGAATATCTCCTGTCCAATATTTTCCTCGAGGAAAATTTTGATATATTTGATTATAGTAAAATTAATAATTTCTATTAATAAAAAGATATCATTAAGAAAGTTACAAAGGCCAATAAAAGAGTGTGAGAAGATAGTTGCAACACATCAGAGAAATGAACATTTAAAAAAACACAGAGGTACTACTACCTAAAAAGGCTAAAGATAAAAGTCTGACAATACCAAGTGTTATCAAGGGTACTTAACAACAAGGGGACCCTGTTCTCTCTGACTCCAAGTCTGCGCTGTTAACCTGAAAAACCTCAGTGAGCCAGTGCTGATGTGTCCATCCTGAGAGCAGGTCAGAATCTTTTCAGGGAGATCTTGTGAATAGTCTGACTACAGGTCCCCTTCTAACTGCAGGGTGAGCTTACCTTGGTAGGAAAATAGCGGCTGAATTTGAACTTTTTCAGGGTCAGGGTCATAGAGTACGTCCCGAAGAAAAGGATGAAGGACATGAGTGCCAGGTCTGGGACGAACTGGCAGGAATTCCCGAGCAGGCGGCCACCGTAGTTCAGACACTCCTTCTTGCTCAGCAGGGACCAGTCCAGCGCTGTGAGGTTAAGGGGGTTGTACTTGGAGACCAAGCACAGGAGAGAAAGGGTCAGGGCCATCCTCATGGGTCAACTGTGCACCCCCCTCCCTGCAGTCCTAGGCAGCCCACACGCCCCTCCTGCTCTCTGAGGGGCCCTAGCCTTTCTGCCCCATGGCCCAGCCACAGAATGATGCTCCTGGAGGCAGGTTGCTTTAAGGAAGGACCACAGGAGGCTCCGCTGGGAGAGTAGAAGCTGAGATGTGTTCTTACTTGTGTTCGAGGATGCACGGCTGTGCTAGCACGGAGGAAAAGCAGAGGGTGGGATGCCCTCCTCCTCCACAGGCCTCGCTCCCAGCTCAGCTCACCTCCTTCCTGGAGTGCCTCACACGTACTCCCTTCCCTATCCCTGTACACACCCTCTCACATATTGGGGCTCATATCCCACACTTGTTTGACTCTTCCTGGGTCAGCTGCTTCAGGCACTTCCCCTTTTGGTGTCCCCGATGCCCAAAATCCAGGGCACGCAACCATTTTATATGTATAAATATGGAGGAATGTATGTGATATATTCTTATGTATATTCCTACACACATGTTTATATATACATACATATACAGTATATGTTCTTAACATATATATATACATACATATAAGTGTACCTATGTGTACATATATGCATATATGTATATACCCACATATATATTCACATATGCCTCTAAGTGTAATAAAAGGAGGAATAAAAGGAGAGTGATTTGTAATAAAATTTAACATATTTTTAAAAAATTTAATGTGTACATTTCAGGCACGTACATAATGAAGTAAACAGATGCTTGCAGTTATAATGGATGTGTGGATAAGAGAAGTGTGGTGGTTTGCCATGACAACGCCCCAACGAATCATGACTCCCCGTGTTCACGCTCCTTTGCAACGTGACCCTGACAGTTCTCATCAAAAGGTGCAGCCTATTTCTCTACCCCTTTAAATCTGGGCTCCCCGGGGCCCGCTGAGACCAACAGGATGGAGAGGAAGTGGCTCTGAGCAGGTTCTGAGCCACGGCCTCAAGGGGCCTTGCGGCATCTGTTCTCACCCTCTGGAACCGTGAGGCCACGGTGCTGTGAGAAGGCTCAGGGTGGGAGAAAAACCACATGAAGAGAGAGGCCCAGGCGTCTACTAATGTCAGGTGTCCCTGAATCACTGTAGCAATTAAACACGCCCCCTGCAGGGTAGCATGCCTCTACTCTCCATTGGTCTGGCCCAGCCGTGGGCAAACTACGGCCCGCGGGCCGGATCCGGCCCGTTTGAAATGAATAAAACTAAAAAACAAAAAGACCGTACCCTTTTATGTAATGATGTTTACTTTGAATTTATATTAGTTCACACAAACACTCCATCCATGCTTTTGTTCCGGCCCTCCGGTCCAGTTTAAGAACCCATTGTGGCCCTCGAGTCAAAAAGTTTGCCCACCCCTGGTCTGGCCCAACGTCTCTCTCCCAGCTCATCTCTTGTGGTTTCCCTGCACGACCCTCACCTCACACTGTCTCAGCCGATGGTTCACTCACTGTCCTGCACAGGTTTGTGCTTTCCCTCTTGTGCCCTTCTGCCTATGCTGGTCCCTCGACTGGAATGGGAACGTACTTCTCCCTACAGAAGCCACTTTGCCGACCTTTAAGCCCAGAGGGCGTTCCAGGGTCTGCAGGAGGCCTTCCCCCCAGCTCGGAAGCCCACGCGCGGCCTGTGTTTGACACATGGCATGCTCTGCGTGGGCTGTCCGGGACCTTCCAGGTTCATCTCCACAGGCTTAGGACAAGCAAGTTTGAGGACAGAACCGGGTCATTCCCACGTGTCTTCTTAGCCCTCACAGCACACACAGCACCTTGCGGATAACAAGTATTCAGACACAGGCGCTGGCTGATGCCATTCCTCCTCTCTCAAGATTAGATATTTGAAAAATCTTAGGTTAAATTGCCAACGGAGCCGTCAGCCACCTGTGCGGGGGTGACTGAAGGAGCGACCTTGGGGACATGGGAGGCTCAAGAATCTCCCCGAGCGCCAACCTACCCTTCACCTGGTTTCGGACTTCCCACCATTGGAGCCTGAATCTTTACACATTAAATTTTTACAATATACATTACATTTTATTATAAATTACTCTCCTTTTTCCCTCCTAATAATAGGGGCTACCGCTCATTATTATTGGGAAAAGCAGGCCAGGTCTGAGGGCCTGGGGCCCCTGAGCACAAGGACAGACCAGACACAGTGAGGAGGGGGATGAATATGAAGTAAACAGGGAGGGGCCTGCAGGTGGGAACTGGGGATCCCAGGTAGAAAGGTGGATGGGAAACTGTTCACAGCGTTGTTTATGCAGCCTTCTTTATTCCTCATGTCTACCTCCCCTGTGTGTGTGTGTGTGATATTTATGCACATACATCTTATGGAGTAAGGCATGTTATAAAAAGGGATTTTGACAGAATATACATAAAATTAACATGTGCATTGACAAGGCTCCACAGGGGACCCTGATGGGCAGCTGGGTTGACCTCTGCAAGTCTGGGTTGCCATAAGATGGCCTCAGTTTCCCAACTTTCCCACTCTCCCCACAAAGCTCTCAAGTGGTAAGAGGAAAGGACTTACCAGAGAAGTGTTGGTGTTTGGTGGCAGCAGGGCTGAGGCATTGAACCCGGTTATGTTCGCTGTGGGTGAGCGTAGGACATGGGGAGGGTCAGCAGCTGCTGGGCAGGGGGTCTGTGACCCCCCACTCCGGGCCCCCACTCTTCCCATCTTCCTCCAGTCCCACAGAGCCAGGGATTGGCTCCTTTGTGAGGGCAGCTCATCGAGCCCCACCCCTCTGCACGCTCCTAACTTTGTCCAGGGACAGGGGGCGGGGGGGAAGCAGGGAGGTGGTGGTGGCCGGGCCCCAGCTCCAAGATCAGCTGGGCCAGGCTAAGGCAGCTGCTCTCTGATGCTGAAGGACTGGCTCTATAACCTGAAGTAAGGGAGCTGCTGCCAAGACCAAGGTCTGACACACATCAGTGAATAACGTGCCTTGTGCATCCCTACCGACCACTGGACTCACGTCTCTAAACATTTTCAAAGAACTTAACTCTATGCCATGCATCTTGCCAAACCTTTACACACACCATCTGGCTAAGTTCCAAATCTGAAAAAAGTCCCCCCATTTTAAAGATGAGGTAACTGAGGCCCATTGCCCAAGGTCACACAGCTTGTACTTGGAGGAGCCATGACCCATCCCAGGCAGGCTGGCCCAGAGCCTAGACACCTCCCAGCTCCACCCAGCGAGCGTCTTCCCTGTCCTACTCCTCTCCACACACACTTCCCTTCTCCCCGGTCCTGGCCCCATCCACATGTGCTATTTTTGTTTGTTTGGTTGGTTGGTTGGTTTTTAGGTCAGCTGGGCCTGCAGAGCTGGTTGGCTTTGATGTTATCTTCTCTAATCTCCGCTTGCTCCAGTGGAAGCCGAGGAAACAAACCCAGTCCAGCCTCAGCATCCCTAACTCTAAGTGGAGCTTGTGAGGGTTCCATCAGGGCAGTGAGAAGAGTTGAGAGGAACTGTGAGGCCTGCCCTGGGGGGTGTGGCCACTCATTACAAAGGCAGGTCTTGGAGGGCCACTTCTGCCCTCTCTCTTGCTCCTGCACTGCACGGGTGCACAAGGGCCAAGTCCTCCGGCCTTCCTCCTCCAGGGAAGGCTGACTGAGCGGTACCTCTGCAGCAGGTTTGGGGAGGGAGCAGGCCTGCCCGCCAGTTTGCTGGTGACAAATCTGAACTGCGCTGCCAGCCCCATCTGGCTCCCGTTGGCTGTGGTTAGGGGTCCAGAGGGCAGAAGAGACTATTCTCAAAGCTTCCGTCAGCCCCCAACAAGCTGTCATGGGTGGATGTGACCACAGGGCCCTCTAAGTTGCTCACTTCCGGGGAAACTCGGCTGGACGTGGGTAAGGGACCTAGCTGCGACCTAGGTCACAACACTCCTAGCAGCTCCGCACCCCAGAGCAGCGGTCGCCAACCGGGCTGCTACCATTATTCTGAGGAAAGCTTCATTTCCTAGAAATCAGGGACATTTGCTGCCTTTCCTCACGCCATTGACCAAGAAGACGTGATGCACAATTAACAACGAATAGAAAAGGTGGCACAAAGGCTGGCTCAAGTCTACCGCTCAACAGGTGAGGACTTGCAGCTACTGCCTGGGCCTGGTGAGCTAGGCTTCCTTCCACTGCCAATCACACCAGACACTCCTGTGATGTCTTCTGCTGAGGCTTAGCCATTCTTTTATGTGGGGAACTTTGTAGGATTTATCGGAAAGCCACTTTGAGACGAAGAAGGAAGAATCATAACATGGAAGAGTCCAGAGAGTGTCCCGGTATCAAATAGTTTGAAATTCTAGTGTTTGCAAATGGTACTCACTTGGGATTGAAAGCAGCCAAGTCAGTGTGTGCAGCATCCATAAACAGAACACAAGTCAGTTACAATGGAAACAAGATCAAATTGAAAAAGAAAGTGCCCCAAACAAGCCTTTGTGCTGCAGAGTGACAATGAGTGTGCCATAGTCCGACTTGGTTTTGCAGTAACACGGGGAAGATGAACAATTAGCAAGCAAGTGGTCCGTGGACTGGGAAAGAAACCCTCCTCAGTTAGTTACCCTCCCCAGTCTCCTAAAATCTAGAACTTTCCTTTTCATATTCTTCTAATCAAAACAACTTGTCCTGGTTCCAGTTCCTTTATTCTCTGATCACACCCCTGGGCTCTGGTAGCATGACCCTCATTAGAGTTACTGTCCCCTCAGTTTTCTTCCAAACACGGGGTTCAAGACTCTGCCTTTGCCCTCTTGGGACAGTAGGTGCCCTTCAAAGCAAGTTCACCCTCCTGCATTTGAGAAGAGACACAGATGAGGGGAAGAGGGTGGGGGCCCAGGGCACCACTGGGGTTACTGCTCACCTGTGTCCGGAGCGACGCACTCGCATTTGTAGGTGGTGATGGAGTCAGGCTTGAAGTCCATGTTGATGGGGTAGTACTTGAAGGCACTGATCATCTTCTTGATGGCATCATAGATGAAGATGAAGCTGATGAGGGTGGAGAAGCCCTCCTCAGTGAAGCGGGTGATGTACTTGATAATAAAGCTGGCGTCCGTGGCCACCAAGACAAGGCACTGGATGGCTGAGTGCAGGCCAATCCAGAGGCGGAACTCCATGTAGTCCAGGCCATTGCCTCTGGAAGGCAGAGGAAAGTGAGGGGCCTCCAGCCCAGGGCTCTGGGCTGTGCTTGGCTCCCCAGACACCCCCTGAATGACTCATCTGTCCCTCCTATGGCACAGATGCCCTCCTAGGAACTGCAAGAGGACTGGGGACAGGGACAATTGGGACAATTCCTGGGTGGGGTTGTCTGGTCTTTGAGAATTCTGAAAAAGGATCTCATGGGATGACAGGAAGGTGCTAAGTCTAAGACATCTTAGTTCTCACATTTTGGTCACAGACATGTGAATGAAAAAAAATAATAATAAGGAATTTCAGTCTGATGGCTGGGGCAGGCCTTAGAATGGCTTCATGGCTGGCCAGGTTAGAATGGAGCCTTCCGACCTCCAGCTCAACTTCTCATGCCCTGCACTGACTTCCAAGTCATCATTGCTCACAAGCAGAGTGGTGTGGATTCTCTCCTCTCGTCTTGCCTGGATGTCTCCCTACCCGCTGTGCTAATATACACTAAGATGACTGAGAGGCAGGTAGCCAGAGGAAGTCAGGGGGACCACCTGGCAGTGCTCTCTGCACAGGTAAGGACAGCTTTGGCCCAGTCTCAGCAGACCGCCCGAGGAACACCTACTTGCTAAAGTCAAAGAGGAGCTTCTCGAAGATGAGGATGGGCCCTGTGCTGCTCAGGATGATGAGAGGCTGTCCCGAGAAGAGGCAGAACAAGAAGCCGGCCATGGCGGTGCCCAGGAAGCTCTCCATCACTCCCTGGGGGCACAAGGAATGTGAGGCTCCGGGAGACAGAAGGGGTCCTTTGGCACAAAACAGATCATACCTGTCTCACCAGGGACCTAGGCCACAGTGCTCATCCTTTATTCTAGGCCCTCTGCTTCCCAAATTCTGTTCATCTCCTACCCCACAACCCCCCACATCACTCGAATTCCACAGGGATGAAGGTCCTGTGTGACTTCCTTTTGGCACCCTGGGACCTAGGAAACAGGGCTGCCAATGGTTCTACTGGTCCCCGTGCCCATGCTACTCCCAGAGGACAGCCCATTTACCCATCCAATCACTCAGTCATTCTACTAGGTGCTTTTGGAGGTTAGACCATTCATTCATTCAAAATTCACTAAGTGCCTACTATGTATGAGGCATTGTGCTAACTACTGGGGACCCATCAGTAAACAAGATCATGCATTTTCAGTCTAGTGGGAGAGATAGACGAGTAACCAGGCAATTTCTATACAGCAGTTTCTCAACTTCAGTACTACTGACATTTCAAGCTTGATACTTCTTTGTGTGGGGGCTGTGCCGTGCCTTGCAGGGTGTTTAGCAGCATCCCTGGCCTCTACCCACTAAATGCCAGTAGCACCCCTTCCCAGTTATGACAACCCACACTATCTCTAGATACTGCCCAATGTCTCCTGGTGGGTCAAAATCATCCCTTCTTGAGAACCACTGCTAAGGAGTATGAGAAGCTGGGATAAGGTGAGGGTGCCAGAGGAGCACACAGTAGGAGTAAAGGAAGGCTTCTCCAGCGGTAGATATGTGGAAGCTGATACCCCAAAACTGACCAGAGAGGAAGTGGAGTGATGAGAATGTCCCAGGAAGAGGGAACACTGTATACAAAGGCTGGACCTGAAGGGAGCATGGCTTTGAGGAACTGAGCGATGAAAAAGGATGGAAAACAATGCAGAATGCGTGAGGCAGACAGGGATCTGAGAAGGGAACACTGGGAGATGAGGTGTGAGAGCAGGTATGACCACGCTATGAGGGCCACTCGGGGAAGCTGGGTTATTGAGTTGGTACGTGGATAACGGGGTGAACCATGGTGTCACCGGCTGTGATGGTAGAACAGCAGGTCTGGAGGGAAGATAGTGGGTGCCATGTAGACCCTGAGAGTTGGGGGATCCCATATGGATCCCATATGGATAGGCCCAGAGGCAACTGGATATTGGACCTGCAGCTCAGGAGAGAGGTGTGGGCTGGCGATAGGGGTTCATCTCAATTTATCTGGGAAAACGTGTCTTTACCTTAATAATTTGAGCTTTCTAGTGGTTCTCTCTCGAGGGCCCCCTTCAGAGAAGACCCTTGTTTGGAGCTCAAGCTAATGTCTGCTGAGCAGGTGTTTTCCCCACAGAGGCCTGTATTGTCATGGAAACAGTTTATCATCATCCTAAATATGTCTTAACTCCAAGTTAAGAGTTTTAGGTTGGTGGGGTTTTTTAAGTGTGAGGAGAAGGCCACAATCAACAACTTTTTAATTGTGTTAAGTTCATTCAAGCAGTGTGGAAAGTAGCAAATAGAGCAGATGATTCCGCTTAAAAGTTGGATTTACACAGTCTTTAAATTTAGTTTTTTAGTAACATGATTTAGCCTTACTAGTAGGTCTTTTAAGATCTTGTTACTAACTTTTTGAAGGGTAAAGGATTACTAAAAGTGATGGTCTGAACAGGGATGGTAGACTTGGTTTGGAGATTATAGGACAAAGCTCCTTACTGCCACCCAGTGGCAGCGGATTTTACTGAGGTTTGCACGCATGTCCTGCACACACACCTGATAATTGTCAGTGGCGTCCCCCAGAAGCCCTCCAAAGGTGATCGCGTTGGTGATGCAGCCGAGGTAGATGAATAGGATGGCAGAGATGGACTGAATGTGGAAGCCATCGTAGAAGTCACTTAGGAACCAGGGCAACTTCCTCTTGACATCCAGGCACAGGCCCCCGAAGCACCTGCTTAAGACAGGCCCCAGCGCTGCTTTCTCACCACAAACACCAGGGCAGGGGCAGGGCTGTTAACAAGTCTGCAGAGTCTGGGGCGAGGAAGGGGACTTGACTAGGAGTGGATGGGGGCAAGGATCTTTCCACCAGAACGTTTAAGACCAGGAAAGAGTTCTCTTAGGACTGAAAGTTTGAGGTCGGCGCCATCTCCACTGAGAAGCGTGGTCATAAGTAGCTTGGATGGGAGGGGGAAGGCCTGATGGGAATATGCCCTGGGGTAAACCTAACATTCCACGGGGAATGGAAACCCTGGGGTCCACAGACAGCCGTCCTCCTCACGTCCCTGACATCCGCAGGGCACCTGAGCTTGGTAAACACAGCTGTGTCTGAATCCGAGGTGGAGACAGCCCAGATTATAACACAGGTTCACTGTGTTCTCCCAAAAGGCGTCTTGGAATCTTAACCTCTGGCACCTGTGGATGTGGCCTCATTTGGAAACAGGGCCTTTGTAGATGCAGTGGAGCTAGGACGAGGTCATTGGGGTGGGCCCCCTTTCAATATGACTGGTGTCCTCATGAAGAGGAACATGCCATGTGAAGACGGAAGAGGGAGAACGCCATGTGACAATGGAGGCAGACAGGGAACACGAGGACTGACGGCACCACCAGAAGCTAGGAAGATGCAAGGAAGCGTTCTCCCCAGGGTCTCAGGGGGAGCACAGCCCTGCTGACCTTCCGACCAGGAACTTCTAGCCTCCAGAACTGCGAGAGAATCAAGTTCTGTGGTTGAAGCCACCTCGTCTGTGATACTTGATTGTGGCAGCCCCGGAAAGCTAATAGAGGTCACAAGGGGAGTCTAAAGAAAAGTTTGGGTCCCTCCATTCCTGTGCTGGGTCCCGCCTGTCCTCGCCTGTGGGAACCCTTCTGCTGGGGGCAGGAGGGGCTTTGAGGGTATGAGGGAGAAAAGAATGCAATGGCCAGACCCCAGGCCAGACCTCATGGTGCGGAGGGGGCGCTGCAGGGAGAGGTGGGGAAGGTTCCTGCAGGGAGGGTGGGAAGGAGATGCATCTAAAGGGTGCCAGGCCTGGGGTGGGCACCTTCCTGTCCAGATAAGCTCTTCCCCGATCTCGTGCTTGGCCGGCATCTCTCTGTCATCCGTGCTGCTCCCTCCGCCGACCCCACCACCGCCACTGCCACCTCCAGGGCCTCCTCCTGCAGCCGCGCCACCTCCTGCCACAGAGCCGTTCATCTGGCCTAGCTCCGTCAGGGAGAACACGGATTTCCTGGAAGAAAAAGGGGGACCTGGGACATGGGGCTCTCAATCCTGGGAAGGGCTCACCCCCCCCCAGAACTGTTCCCAGAATACCTCTTATTTCTCCAACAAAAATTATAAAATATCTTAAAATACAGAGAAAAATGTGGAAAATGATGGAACAATACCCACACACAGGTCACCCAGATTTCACAGATGTTAAAATTCATCATATTTGCTGCTGATTTTTTTAGAGATAAATAAAATAAAATGAGGAAAAAGATATAAACCCCAAAATGCTGGCATCGTCCTTTTAAATCTAAAACGAGAAAAGAAAGGGCCAGACTTGAAGTTTCCCTTGTACCACTCCCTGCCCTCGCCACCCCTCCATTCACATACTCACCTCTTGTCTGCAGAGGGCACCTTCTTGGGGGGCTCGATTCGGATATTTGGGTCCCATTCTCCAGGCGGAAGGACGATGACCTCATCCAGAAACTCGTCGATGCCAGCGATCAGATCCTCCCGATTGCGGGCTTTATAGGCCACGTCGCTGAAGAGCTGGCCGTGAAGAGGAGAACGGTCAGCTCTCTGCCCGACGTCTCCTTGTTACCCGCCTCCCGGGAGCACGCCGGGAGAAAATCACTTTGACCCGTTGCTCCTGCCGCCAATTTGCTCCCAGATTTTGAAATGAGAACCACCACCCGGCAGGTGACATAAGGCCACTGGGAAACAGCAGCCTTGGGGACAGCTGGTCCCCCTTGGATATGAAGGCCAGGCCTCCGCGTTCTGACTGTCGGGCTTTTGTTGAGTGGCAACCTTCCTGCTTTCAGTTGTGCACAGAGCACGCTCATTAGAAAACCCATGCAGAGCCCGCACGAGAACCTCAGCTGTTTCAAATCTGTAACTTCCTCGCCTTTCATCCTTGGAGGGTCGGTATCCTCATTCCACAGTGTCTCCAGAGTGTTCGTTCTGACTTGCAGATCTGATGGGATCCTGCCTGTGGCTAAAGTCCTCTAGGCTCCCCGTCACTCCTGGAGGAGTGTGCACTCTAGGCTCCGCCCACAGGCTCAGTGTGGTCTCTGACTCACCTCTCTGTGATACCTCCTGCTCTCGAAGCTCTAACACTGAGCCTGCGTTGAACCACTTCCATCCAGCTTCTCTGTCTCCCAACCTTGGCCCCTATTCCCTTTGTCTGGAATGCCTGCCTCCCAGGCTCATAGTGGGTCTACCTACCTCCTCCTGCTCTTCGTAGCTTTAAAGCCCCTCATGTGAAGCCTGCTATGACTTCCTGGATTATAGGTCTGTCTCCCCACTCGGTTGACGCTTCTAAAGGGCATCAACCATTATGAGGATGACTATTCCCTCATCCTCATAATCCTCAGCACCTACACAGAGCCTGCACACAGTAGGTACTCAATGTGCCTATTGGATAAATGAATGAGTGAAGGCTCAGTGCTTGATTCAGGAGCCATGACATTGGGAATACGTTTCTCGTTCCCACTTACATCATCTACCATGAGGGTGGCAATGGCTCGGCCAATTTCATTGTAGGACTTCGCTCTCCCAGAAGGTCCCAGCAGTATGAACAGAAATCTGCAAGGAGATGAAGGAGGAGGAGGAGGGAAGTGAGAAGGAAAAACAGAAGCAGGTGAAGAGAAGGGTTCTCTGGCTCCAAACAGTATCCATTCTTAACTTTTTAACTGGCTGTAAACTTGTCCATTCCTTCTTTTTTAAAAAAATTTTTAAAATTGATTTTCAGAGAGAGGAAGGGAAAGGGAGAGATAGAAACTGGTGAGAATCATTGATCAGCTGCCTCTTGCACGCCCCCTACTGGGGATCGAGCCCACAACCCGGGCATGTGCCCTGACCAGAAATTGAACCATGACCTCCTGGTTCATAGGTCGACACTCAACCACTGAGCCACACCAGCCGGGCTCCTTCCCTCTTTTGACTCCCATGTTTGTTTTGGAAAGACATTTCCTCTTCACTCCCACAGCTCTCCCTCGAGCATCCTCGCCGTGTTCTGGTGTCCCAGAGCCACCAAGAGCATCCCTCCCAGCTGTTGTCTCCTGCTTTCGAGTGATTGCTTTAACTAAACGCTCTAAATCTCTTCCCAAGTGAGAAGACTTTCCTCCCCAGCCAATTCCCTATTGTCCCTCCCTGTTTTAGGGGTGTCTTCACCAGCACTGCATGCGGACTGCATGGACAGCTCGTCGCCTGAAGGCGGTCGTGGGGGGCAGATTTCAATGGCCCCTCACCTGGTGGGGACGGGCACCTCGGTCACCCCTCCCAGCATGGCCGACTGGATGAGACGCACGAAGGCGATGAAGGGCTGGTCCAGGAAGTCCACCTCCCCCACGAGCACGTTGGAGGCTTCTGAGTCCTTGGGGATCTTCTTCATGAATTTGTTTTTCCGCTGGTCAAGGAGGGAAAACAGGGCGCCCATGGTTACTCACATGCAGGGGTTCCAGCTCTCACTCCCTCACCCCCTTCAGATGGCTGTAGAGCCCTAACTTGGAAGAGTTCCCCCAGCCTGTCTCAAGAGACCGAGAGAAATAACCACTCTCCCCCCTTCTGCAGATGAGAGACTCGACCTTTGTTAACCCCCGGGACCAACAAGGCCTGTGGAGACGGGGAGGAGCAGGCAACGACTTGATCCCTAAGACATTCCTTGATGAGTAAAAACTTTGCTCAACTGAAGTGTGAGCTGAGGGCGTGCGGGGTGTCCGGTCTCATCCCCCAGCCTCTGCGGCTCAAGCAGAGGGACCCTTGGCCCTTGCACTGCAGCTCCCCACCCCCCGCCCCACCTTCACCTTGGGTGGCTGCGGAAGGGACGGGCCCCCTTCTGATGGCCAGGCCGATGCACTGTGTCCCCTTTGCCACCGCTTCCTGGCTCACAGGAACCCCTGGACCACACCTCCAAGCCTGTGGGAGACTTCCGGGCCCCAAGTCACCCCCAGGGACCTCCCAGGAAACTCGTAGCTTCTGAGACTTTACAACCGAGACTTCCCAGGTGCCCTCTCGCCAGGCCCTCTGGCTAGCGTCTGTTCAGAGCAGGAGGTCACATAGAGCAAGGGGGCTGAGGGAGAGGTGCTGGAGACAAGCCCTCTTCCCAACGTATTCCCACCGCCCTCGTTCATGCCGCCATTCCTTCCGAGCCCTCTCATACGAGGAACATGCCCAGGGAGGGTCCCATACAAGCTCACATCTTAGGATGCACTCATTTTTCAGATCGCTTTCCCTCTGGGCGGAAAGGGGATGGGCCAGGGACAGAGATAACTTGTAGAGATGGTGGAGAGGGAGCATCTGGGAGGGCAGGGCTGGTGGAAGTCCACAGTGGCCATCAAAGGAAGAAAGGGCCCAGAAGTTAGAGGTGAGCACTTCAGAGAGATCCTACGGACCCCACAAGCTTGCCACCCGTTTGTCCTGCGTCTCTCCTGTGGGCACAGACATGTCCGTTTCCCATAAGCTCCATGTCCCTGACTCACTCATGGCGGGCGTGATGCACAGGGGCTGGGTGCCTACCAGCATGAGCAAGGGCATGTGAGCAAGGGCTGCACCCTTGTAATCTTTTACATCCAATCCCAAACCAAAACTCTCTACAGCCACCCAGGCCACAGCCCCAAGGACCCTAACGCAGTGAGAACAAGCCGGGCCAGGAGTTAGCGGGAAGGCCAGAGTCCTCACAACTCAGAAAGTCCCTTTGTCCCAGCCAGTCAGCTGATTCGTAAGCAGCATTCTTCAGGATGGAGGGCTTGGTGTGCCAGGGCAGCCGCATGCCCCTGCCAGCTCTGTGCCCACAAGCATCAGGCGGGGAGCAGGTCCAGGGGACAGGAGGAGCGGAGGGGTGGCAGAAGTGCCCTGGAAAAGGAGTCTTTAAAAACAACAAGGTTTGGGGGCAGCCCAACAGCACACTCATAATCCAGGAGAGGAGAGGAGCTGAAACGGGCCGTGGTCCTCCCTGGCAGGTGGCGACAGTTTGGTAAAGAGGCCGGCGGGGTGGTGACATCCCAGAAGTGGGCCATGCTGCCGTTCTGGCCACCTGGCTTGGCCAGGGTTTGGACCAGGGCCTTGCTGACCCTACTTACTGAACCCATAGGGAGTCTGGTCCAGCTCTGTCGAGTGACCACACACAACTATTGTGTCTGAATCCACTCTCTGCTTCACCGGGAACCCACGGACTGCCCAGGGCAGGCGGGGAGCCATGAAGAAAGAGCCTGCAGAGCAAACGCCTCTGGGCTGGAGCCTAAAGAGCGCCCACTGGCGGACAAACCGCTATTCCCACAACAGGCCTTTGCGGCTGCAAACAGCTGGTCAGTCAGGAGAGCTGGACGTGGGGCGTGGCTCCAGTCCCTACATCAAGGCAGCGTTGCCTGGGGAAAGTGACAGCTGCTCTTCTTGTTGCCACTTAGACATTTATGAAAATCGACTCCAGTGGTCGGCAAACTCATTAGTCAACAGAGCCAAATATCAACAGTACAACGATTGAAATTTCTTTTGAGAGCCAGATTTTTTAAACTTAAACTATATAGGTAGGTACATTGTTATTAACTTAATTAGGGTACTCCTAAGGCTTAGGAAGAGCCACACTCAAGGGGCCGAAGAGCTGCATGTGGCTCGCGAGCCGCAGTTTGCCGACCACGGGACTAGGCAATGCTTCCTTATCTTGGCCCCGCTGTCTGTGTGCTAAAGTGGGATCTTCTCTAAATAATATCCCAGAATACTCAGTGCTAAGTCACTTCCAAATTAAGTGCTCTCGGCAGACTGTCTGGGTCTAGTCATGCTTCTGCTGCATGAACTTGGGCACGTTATTTAACTGCTTTAAGGTCCAATGTTCTCCCAGTAGATAGGAGATGATATAGACCTTCATGATGCATGGTGTGGCGCGTGCAGTGTGTGGGTCTTAAGTGTTGGCTGATGCTGTTATTATTGTCATTTTATTATTTGGCCACCAAACGGTCCTCGTGATACTGATGTGAGGGACTGCTTTTGTTTCGCCTGCTACCAAACTTGGGGTGCCCCGAAGGCCAGGCCTTCTCCCAAGCTCCTGAGAAGTCTTCACCAAATTTCAGGGCTCTTTCATCACCTTCCTTCCCACTCCTGGGGGCACAAGCAAGGGGACCATGAGACTCTGCCCTTGAGGTGTGCATGGTTGGAACTGAGGGGGTTCCTCTGGGCTTCCCCAAGGGGCAGAGCCACAGGGTTCCCGGGCTGTGGGCCTTAGAACGTGGACTCAACCTGTTGTAGGAAATCTCATCAGGAGATTTCAGCCAGGCTGGTGGGAGGCAGGAACTGCCTTTATCCTGGCCCAGCCAAGGAGAAGACGCACTGCTGGGCGGGCCAAATGATTCGCTACCACTGCTGTCCCCACAGGGAGGCCCCACCGAGAGTCTGTACCAGCCCCAATCCCACTCCATCTTTAGAGGTACTTGTGTGCCATACAGCAGGTGAAACCCTGCGTGCTGGTCTTCTCTCTCCAACAAATCCCAAGCTCAGAGGCATGCTTCTCTGCCCCCCACCCCTCCCAGGCCAGGCACAGAGCCAGTACTTGGGGCTTAGTCAACACCCAAGCAATGGAGTGGGCAGAGTCACCAGGCAGCCCAGAGGGCCCCCCTCCCCCACCCCATGTCCTTCCTGGAGACTCCCGCTCCTTCATGAGAATGGAGCCCTGCCCATAGGGCAGTGATGGCGAACCTATGACATGCGTGTCAGAGGTGACACTCGAACTCATTTTTTTCGTTGATTTTTCTTTGTTAAATGGCATTTAAATATATAAAATAAATATCAAAAATATAAGTCTTTGTTTTACTATGGTTGTAAATATCAAAAAATTTCTATATGTGACACGGCACCAGAGTTAAGTTAGGGTTTTTCAAAATGCTGACACGCTGAGCTCAAAAGGTTCGCCATCACTGCCATAGGGGCTCCCTGCCCGTGGAACCAAAGGCGTCTTCCTGTCCTGGCCCCTCACGGTGGCCCAGTGCAAGGGCTTTACTACCTGGTCTGGGTTTTGGGTGCGAGGAATATCATTCATGCTTCTGCTCTGGACGTGACCTAGGAGAGAAGGAAAAGAAGGTCCATCAGGGGAAGCCAGGCTCTCTCAGGTCCTTTCCCCGGGTCCCTACACATGCTTTCCGTCTTCATAAGCAAAGGAAGAGCCCCTCTCCCCTAATCCTGCAGTCCCCTTGAGCTGGCCTCCACTCTCTTTTCTTCCCTCCAATGGCAGCTATCTCTCTCTCTCTCTTTTTAAATTTTAATTTCTTAACATGGATTTGTATTTCCACTTATTTATGCATTCATCAGTTGATTCTTGCATGTGCCCTGATCAGAGATCGAACCGAAACATCGATCAGCTGCCTCCTGCACATCTCCCACTGGGGATGTGCCCGCAACCCAGGTACATGCCCTTGACCGGAATCGAACCTGGGACCCTTCAGTCCGCAGGCCGACGCTCTATCCACTGAGCCAAACCGGTTTCGGCTTAAATTTTAATTTCTTAACATGGATTTGTATTTCCACTTATTTATGCATTCATCAGTTGATTCTTGCATGTGCCCTGATCAGAGATCGAACCCACAACCTTGGCCTATTGGGACGACGCTCTAACCAAATGAGCTGCACAGCCAGGGCTGGGGGCTCTCTTAAAAGAGTTACCAGACCCCAGGTTCTACTTCTCCCTTCTCACTACTCAATCTGCTGTATTCTTGTCTCTACCCTCACCCCCTTTTCCTGGACAGAGACCACCTTCTGGGCAGAGACAAAGATGTCTGTTCTGTGTCAGACCCTGGGGGTGGGGAGGTGTCGCTAAGCTTGGAATTTGTTGGAGAGAGAAGACGAGTTTCACCTCCATCCTCCATGACCCATGTGAGTCTTTTTCTTTTTATATATATTTTTATTGATTTCAGAGAGGAAGGGAGAGGGAGAGAGAGAGATAGAAACATCAGTGATGAGAGAGAATCATTGATCGGCTCTCTCTTGCATTCCTCAATCTCCCACTGGGGATTGAGCTTGCAACCCAGGCATGTGCCCTTGACCAGAATTGAACCCGGGACCATTTAGTCCACAGGCCAACACTCTACCCACTGAGCTGAACCGGCTAGGCCCCATGTCAGTCTTTAAAGATGGCTAAGGATTTGGGCTGGCAGAGGGAGGGAAGGTGGGAAGAACAGTGGTGGTGAATTACTTGAACTGCTCAATAATTCCCCTGTTTGATTAAGGCAGGAGAAGCTCAGCCAGACCCCGGGGACACTCTCAGACCTGTCACTTCTTGGCTTTCGGCGGCCTGGGTGTCCCCTCACTTCCAGAACATGCTCCCTTGGCCCCCCTCCTCTTCCTTCCATCCAGAGCCTCTCCTCCTGGCCTCCCCTGAGGGCCTGTTTTGCCCTCGTCCCCTCCAGAGACATCAAGCCCTCCATCCTTGCTCAATCGTACCACTCCTGTCACTGTCACGCCCATACTTGGGCTGATCTCTCTCAAATAAAAATCTGATCATGGTCTGCCCCTGCTTAAAACTTCTCCGGGGTCCCCTCTGCCAGCAGAATAAAGGCTGGGCCTTCCTGCAGGGCACAGAGGCCCCTTCAGTGGGACCCTCTCTCCCGCAGGCCTGACACTCCTCATTACCGAGCCACTATATCCAGACCTGAGTACACAGCGCCCTCCACAGCCTTCCTGCACCTGCTGTTTGTCTCCCTTGCTCAGAACACCCTTCTCCTTCCTGGAAAACGCCTTCCTATTTATTCCCCAAGACTCAGGAATAGCCCCTCCTCACTGAGCTTTCCCGGGTGCCACCTGCACACACGCTGTAAGCGCTTATTCATGCCTTTTGTTGGGGTCCCCAACCCTGCAGCACAACGCAGGGGAGACCTCATCCACAGCGAATAACTGAAGACCTTCGCCGCCTGCTCACTGCTGCCCCCTGGCGCCCTTGCGTGCAATAACCAAGTCCAGGGGGAACTATGAGGACCCAGGGTCACTACAAACAGAGAAAAAAGCCCACGACACACTGCAGCTGAGGCCTCGGACAAGGGCCACAGCTCCTCCCGAAACATCCCTCAGGCCTGGTTTGCTCATATCTTGGCATTTTAGTGAAAGTCTTTAAAGGACAATAGGATTGCTATTTTCACACTGCCTTTTCTTTTCATTTTCCAAGTCCCCTCTTTTCTTTGCCTCGTAGCTCACCCGTCCTGTTCATCTCTGATGAACTGTCTGAAAAAGCCCCGTGTGCAACCAGGCACCTCCCTGGCACTCAGGGGCTGTGACTGCAGCGTTTCATTGTCCTGGCGGCTCGAGACTGTCACCCAGTGATGGGAGCACTCTCTGTCCTGGGGGGTGGGGGTGGGGGTGGGGGAGATACCTCCCATGTTTTTAATTCTGTTTCTAGGAAGGCTTTTTTACCAAAAACAGGGCTAATGATCAATTTGATGAAAACCAAGGTATAAACTAAGTTACAAATGCCTAGCACATAGGACTGGGTAGTGATTATGTCAGGACTTGATTTAGAGCTGCATTTTTTCCAGAATAATTATATAGAAAATTATGGTAGTAGCCCTAGCCAGGTTGGCTCAGTGGATAGAGCATCGGCCTGCAGACCAAAGGGTCCCAAGTTTGATTCTGGTCAGGGCTCGTGCAGGAGGCAACCAATCAACATGCCTCTCTCATATCGATGTTTCTCTCTGTCTTTCCCTCTCTCTTCCACTCTCCCTAAAAATCAATGGAAAAATATCCTCGGGTGAGGAAAATAAAAATGTACGGTAGTAAATTAGGCTCTGAGAGTAGACCAGCTTTCGGTGAAAGTTAGAATTTTCCTGGCTCCTGTCCTGAGAATTCTAGACAGGCCCTGGGCTTTGTCTCCTCCGCCTTTGAAAGAAGACGAAAGCCAACATTCCACGGCTGCCACAGCCAGGACCAGGCCGTGACGAAGACGCTGTGGCGCAGTGGCAGAGGACACTCACACAGATGGCCGTAGCTTATGCGTGGCTGCACCCGCAGGTCCTCGGTGGAGCGGTGTAGGCTGGGGCCGGCTGGGGGGCTCCGGGCTAGGCTTCGACCTGGGAGGAGGAGCAGAGGGGTTTGCCTTGGAGCCTGGGTTTGCCTCCCCATCGATGTGGTACTAAGCGTATTGTCATTTCTCCTGAACAAAGCTGGGCTACAAGACCTGTCTGTTCTCCGTCCAGGAAGAGGGTGTTTTTGGTTGTTCTGTTTTTTGTTCTTGTTTTGGGGCCTTTTTTTTTTTTGGAAGCAAGTTAACTGCCTGAACAAGATTAAATATTTGTACTGTTGAAAGTGAGAATGACCAATTGATCCAATAGCCACAGGTGTTGTAGATGGCCTGGCTTTATCCCAGATTGCACCTCTAGCTTGGCTGTGTGACCTTAGGCAAGTAACTTAACCTCTCTGTGCCCCAGGCTTCTCATTTGTCAAATGGGGGTGATGAGAACAGTACCTAGTCACGGGTTATTGTGAGGATGAAGTGAGTCACGCTTCAGTGCTGGAACATGGTAGGTACCGCGTGTGTGCCTGTAGTTATGATACACTAAACACTCCCCCATTTCAGGCGGTTCTAAAGAAATTCCTCAAGGCTCATTATTTAGCTACTTTGTTCTGATGACGGCATTTATCTGAGAGGTCCAGCAAGGCTAGTAGTGTCTGGGCGTCTCAACTCTGGGATATCAGATGGAGGGTGGCAGGTTTGAGATGTGTGAATGGAACAAGCCGCTCTCCCCAATGCCCCCCCCTCACCGCCCCGCTAATCAGAATGACCCAGCTGCCAGGTTACCAG